ATGCCAGGTGCTGTGTTGGCAGAAGGCTAAGAAGAGGCCACCAGACATGGCCTGTGTCCTCACAGAGTTCACAGGCTAGGGACAAATGATCATAGCACTGGGTGGTGTGAAAATCAGCCTAGAGCCACAATAGCTGTGAGGAGGGAAGTCATCAGTCTTCCTGGGAAGCCTGGGCCATGAAACACTAACTCAGAACCTTTAGTCCAGTTCTTTTGCTGCCATCGGGAAGGAGACAAAAACAAGCCTCTGAAGCCTGAGAGCAATCTATGACTTTAAACTCGACTTTCCTCAGGTTCAGGCCCCTGTCAGTGGTTTTGTGAATGTGGATCTAGGTTTAACAGTTGTTAATGACAGCTGCCTTTTCTGAGTAAGGAATCTCCTGTTACTGGAAAATTGTCTCTTCTCTATCGTGTTGGCCTCACTATGCAAATGCCGTTATTTCCAAATGCTAATTTACACTGAGAACCCTACCACCAGCAGAATTGTATCCTAAAGAAAAGTGGGCTCTTCTTACTTCAGGCCCTTGGGTAGTGGGTGAGGAATGGATGGCCAGGTAACTGGACCTGTATCAGGCATTGCCTTATGCTCTCCCAGCCTCACTTGGAACCACAGGAAGCTCCTTCTAATTGTTTCTTCTTGTTACTAGTTTCTTCCAAACATTTTCTCTCCCCCATCCATATTAGTCCAACAATCACCATTCTTAACAAACAAAACTGATGGGTAGCATTCCACTCTAGAAACAAAACATGTCATCTGCAGGATAAAACAATGATGCCTAAGTTTGGCCGAACTCTTGAAAGTCTGGACCTGACCTCATGCCAGCTTGTCTCTCTTCCCCAGGCTTCCCGTTCTTCTGCCACAGGGCACTTTTCATTGTTCCCTGGGTGTCCTAGCATCTTTCATGTGCCCTTGACTTGACACAGGCTGGTCCCTCTGCCTGAGTTGCTCCTCTTCCCTGTCTTTACCAGCTTCTGCAAACTAGAGCTCAGATGACCCTTTTCTTTGAAAATCCCCTGATTTACAAGCACAGATTGAGTGGCTCTGGCATCGGTGCCCTTGTGCCAATGTGGCCTGGTCTCAAGAACATATAGCATATGTTCATACATTATTGCACTTCATATGTTTGCCTGTTTATGTCACCTCTTGAATTATCATTCTCTCAGGGGTAAAGTTGATGTTCTTCTACTTTATATGCCCAGTACTTAGCAAAATGCCTGGCGAAGGGCAACAACAAAAACAGTGATAATCATAACAATAATAATACCAATAAAAATAATGAAGTCTGACATTTATTGAGTTCTTACAATGTGGGAGGCATTATTCTAAGCCCTGTATCTGCATTAACTAAATTTGTCTTCATAATAGTACCAAGGGGCGTAATATCATTTTC